ATTCTGCCCATCTAGGTCATTTGGTTGCTAGAAGCTTATTGATCCCGGGATCTGAGCCTGCTGTCTCTTGAAAGAAGCCAGGGCATTACCTTCAAAACCATGGCTGGTTAGTATATTCCACATCCCTCACAATGCTTTCTGAAAAAAGTGCCTCCTGTTCTCGGTTTTAAGTGCACTGCCACATAGGTTCCACCTGTGTCTGGTGTGTGTTTCACTACTGACTTTGAACACAGCAGCAAACCTTTTTGTAACGGTGAACAAAATTGTATACAACATTCCTTTCACTTATATTCTACACTTTTAACCATTTCCTAACATTTCGTTTTCCCTTTTTTATTGCTTTTCCACATTGTCTAGACTTCAGGAAAATGTATTTACATGAACACCAAAGTCTTTTTTTTACAACTTCTTCAACATCTACACTTCCCACCTGATAATTACAGTTTGTTTTGCTACCTATACTTAACACTCTGAGCCCGACGACTGTTGCTTATGCATGTGAATTCTGCTCATTGTTCTCTGCAGTGCTAATTGCGTTGTACTAACACATAAAGAATGTTACAGATCTTCTGCTTTTCTGTCATTTTACATTTTCTTTTGTAGCTAACTACCACATTCATGGAAGCTCAAACTTCTGGTAATACCCTGACTTAAAAAATGAGCAGGCTTACAAAATGTTGGCATTTCCAAAATCCAGTGTGAAAACAGCAAAAAACATGAATGCTATATCTTGAAAAACAGCAGTGCTCTTATCTCTTCAGGGACAATTAGGTAATTTTCCCGGTAGAGAAACTGTGGCTAAATTGCCCATCTAATTTTCTTACTAGGAAGTGGGCAGACTTCCCAAAGCCTGTACACATTGGGAATAATAAGTATTATTCTGTACGATTACTACATTGGAAATACAGTCCTACAATGCCTGGAAACCACTGTAAAACACAGGAGCCCTAAGTCCACAGCAAATATGAAGACGAGTTTTTTCACCAGACTTCAGATTTTTTATGTGATGTGTGTTTTGTGATTTCTGCAGACATGACCTCAGCCTCAACGTAATGATTCATCCTTTCACTCCCTGTTATGAGAACATAAGGAAGATTACAAACGAGATGAGGAGACTCGCCCATCTAGCTGGTTTGGTAGGAAGCAGGCGATTGATCCAAAGGATCCTGTCCAGCCGTGTCCTGAAAGAAGCCAGAGTTTCAACCACATGGCTTGGTAGCTTGCTCAAGATTCCCAAAAGCCTTGTTCAGCAAGGAGAGCAAGTATAGCCAAAACATGGCTAAAGGCACTCATTCTTAAAACTGCAGTCACAAACCCAAGAGCAAATGTGCTAGAACACTGTAAAACATGGTGACCTAGAAGGTAAAATAAGCCTTATTAGGTAAGAGGGCTTCTTTTATAAATTTTATAAATAATAGCATAGATAGGGAAAGGACTGCTCAGAACAGTGAACTCAAACACAATTGTACCAGAATTGTTTTTAATGGGCTAAGTATTCACCTCCATAAATTGTCTTTTTCCTAAAAAGGCAAAATCATAACCAGTTTCATTCTTTTCCTCACAGAGCAGACTGACCTAAGCAAGGCTGTGTCAGTCCTGCACTCGACTGCTGTCCTGTCAAAGCCCTGTGGTCTCAGCTCACCATTTTGCTGCGTACGTCTGAGAAAGATACTGGCTTGCCGTGACCCGGGTGAGGAACGGCAGCTCTATTACTAATCGATGGACGGAAGAGTTGCCCATCAAATGCAGTACTCAAGACGGCCAGAAGAAACCTGGCAACCCTTTTATCCTCATCTGGTTTCTTATCCTCATTCAGAGCTGTTTTTTTTCTTCCCGTTCTGATACTGCATCCCACACAGAGACTGCACTGTGAACACTGAAGCACTGCTCCTGAACTGGCTAGGAAAGGGTTATTCTTGATACTCACACCCAGAGTGCTCCACAGATGCAGGATGCTGACGTTGCCACAGGGGGCTAAGGGCATGCACTCCTTGCCTACTGGGGGATCCTTCACAGGACTGTCTGGATTAAGCTGTGGGATCAATTAGAGGGAACTACAACAGGCACTAATGGGCTGAACAGCTTCCTGGCATTCAAAACTTTCATTACCTCAAGATGTAAATAGTTTCTCTGTGTTAGTTCGTTAGGCTTTTTTTTTAAAAACAGATTTTAAGAAGGCACTTCTGACTAAAATGCATTAGTTTGCCAGCTATACCAATTCTGTTTGTTTGCTGGCTTTAGGCAATAGAGGCGTTCCTGCAGGAAAGAGATTAGATGAAAGAAAAAAAATGGAAGAGAGGCAGGGAGAAAAATAAAAAAAAAGAAAATGGGGAAAAAATGAAACTAAATCACACAAGCTTTGAAGACACCACTCTGCAATCACAATCTAAAAAATGGTGGGAGAATATGGAAAGTGAGGTGTTTCCAAATAATACTAAAAAGCAACATGGTAAAAACATAAAATCCCTTAAAACCTTGAAATTGTGTTAATGGATATCTTGTTTCCACCTTTGTTTTCCCCTTAAAAAGAATTCATACCCCTATTATTACACTTTGCCTCTTATCTTGTCATTTAGCACCAATAAACTAAGCTGTGTTCTTGCACTACTAACTAACAAGACAAGAGAAGAGACAGGTTGCACACACAGATACAGCGCTTGTATCTGCTGTATACAGGACACAGTAGTGCACTGCACGCCTGCCATTCCAACAGAAGTAGGCAAGATGTGACTCCACATCTAGCAGCAGAGCACTGTAGAGAGGATCTGCTGCTGGACTGACTTGGAAACGACTGGTACAGGCCAGTAATTCCAAAAGCACAGGACACAAGGCTAAATAAAAGAGCAAGTTTCTTCAGATTTTGCTAGTTATGTCTGGCACTGTTCTGCTTTTAAAAGGTGCTACATAAAATAACATTTATTATTACTACTACGGGGGCAGCATGGTAGCGCTGTGGTTAGCATTTCTGACTACCAGTGCTGGGGCTCTGGGTTCTGTTCCTGCGGAGCTATCTGCAAGGAGTTTGTACAGTATGTTGCTTGTTTGGGTTTCGTCCAGGGGCTCCAGTTTCCTCCCACAGTGTAAAGACATATTAGTAGGTTAACTGACTTATGGGAAATTTGGTGCGAAGGTATGCATGTTTTGTGTCAGTGTGTACCCTGTAATGAACTAGCAGCCCATCCAGGGGATATGCTGCCTTGTATCTAATGCTTCCCAAAGATGCTAGTTGCCTGAATCGAATCAGCAGTCATTGAAAGTGATGATAAAGATGACTATTTTTCTACAGTAGTATACTGTACACAGTAGTATACTGGCTCCTTCTCTCTGTTTCACTTAATCAAAAGGATGAGATCACTGAAAGTAAGAGCTCTACCACATACTGTGCAGTCTGTGTTGTTTTTTTATTCCTACATGAAGCACTAGTCATGTTGGGCATTTGAAGAACAAATTATCTTTGAGGATGTTTACAGAGTCTTCCAATTAATCCTCTTTTTCAAAAACGCCTCTGCTCAAAACAACTGTCACACCTCTGAACATATTTAACAGACATACTGTGAAGTATAACTGCTTAACACTTTATTTTATGGGATGGTTTAAGAAAGCCATGTTGGTTGTTTTTAAAAAAAATACATCAATTTTCCATATATCATAACTTTGTAATTAAGCTAAGACTTACTGTACATTTGTCTTGTAATTGACCAAAGGTAACGGTATATACTGTATGAGCAATTTTAAGATTTCTAGTAAACTTTCACAGCATATTAGTAACCTGGCTATCATTTTGAATGTGTCCCAGCTAAAGTCATCTGACTGTTCTGGGACTTGTACAAAATGTCAGAAAAAAATGAAATGAAATGAAAATTTTAATAAACATGCTTGGGCGTTTTTACTTCCAAATAAACTACTTATTCAAACAACTGAAATGGGAAACTGTATGTTATCTTTCCATTTTGACTTAGTGTTTTAGGTAGCTGTGCGCAAGAGCATTGCCTATTCCATCTGGCCCTTGTCATCCCTAAATTCAAAGACTCGGCACAGTGCAGAACTAGGGGTGTAATGAACTAGAAATGAACCATGTTGTGACAAGTAAAAATCCTTTGGTATTTACAGAGGATGTCCAGTCAATGTGGGTCACTCATTTTATATTAGAGGAACAAGGGCTACGGTAAGTAAAAAAAACCGCTCCCTAGGCTGTCGCACGATTATCCGCTCCCTCGGATAAAATAAAAATAATGACCGATTAGGCATTATCGATCTCCAGTTAAACCGTTATTAACATGGAACTATAAATACAGCTGTTTAAGATACCACTTAACAATATAAAAGAGACTCGTAAAAAAGCTTAACATTCAATACAACGCTATATATGTGGCCTCTTTCTGTACGAGTAAACATCACAGTGGAGTCTTTAAACATAAAACAACCTTATAATGTTGTCACGCACACTTCAAAAATGTAATGTCTTTGCTACCGTCTCGAACGCTTCTTTGCTCTCAGGGAAGACAGCTGCGTGAAGTAGCTACAACCGGTAACATCTGTATTTCTCAAGCCTGTCTCTTCGCTACACGTGTCCGAATTGCTCAGCCAGCACGTCCCCTGCCCGATACCGGGATCTCGCTCATATTGGTTTCACGGCGCCAAAAGGAATCGAAATTTGCACCGCTGGATTAAAATAAAATACAAGATTTTATTACTTGACATTACGTTGACAGTAACAGTCCCCGCGCCTGATCTGGTGCAAGATTCAACACTTTTTAAACAACTAACAGAAACTTCCAACGAAGGGTTTATCGGAGACAAGACAGTCCAGTCGAGCCCCATCAATCTGACACCATTAACCTACAAACCTTTACTATTACCAGCAGCTGCAGATGACAGCGACTTTATTCCGCTGCGCTGACAGCTTTGTTGTACGGAGAGGCTCAAGTCTGTACAAAACCCATTTGTTCCAGCACCTGACGGCAAACTCATTTATTTCCATTGTAAACCAAATGAATTACCTGATTCAAATCTTGATCGGTCAAGAGGTGAAGCTCCCGCGGCTTGAAGCAGTTCTGACATTTGCTTTTGTTAAAAATGTTCGCCTGAAACTTCCTGCAAGGGGTTTCCTTGACTCCAGACATGTTGTTTTGTTCCCGATGCCCCCCAACGAAAAATTCACGCAATACTTAAAATGGAATCACAAGAACTGAAAACAAAATCGATATATTCTTCTTTCTCGCACCCTTTCCGAAATACGCTTTATCCAACTTGGAACAAGGGCCTTGCAATCCGATGCATGATCCAAATGCCGACCGGACTTCACTTGTTCCAGCCAGCCGGATTTCCACGGGCTCTGGGCGGCTTTGACAGGGTCCTCTGCTCTCGCTTGCCAGTTACCTGCGGCTGCTCTCAGCTCAATCCATGGCCTGCCTCCACCAGCCGACAGCGTTACGTACGATCGTGTGGTCCACTGAATTATGTTACTCGGCTACCAGTGAACACATACAGTTGCTTATCGTTTCTTGCAATCCCGAGTCGTTGCGGTTCCCCCCACCGGATACACCGATCCCATTGGTACTACCGACCCAGAGAAAGAGCGGCTGGGAGGGGGGGGGATCCAGTCAGTGGCACTCGTTAATGAAGTTTTCCCTGCCTCTTCTTATTCAAATCCACACTCCCCGAAATCTGCTATTTAAGGGCTTGTTCTTCAGCAATTCGGATCCTTCTTGGGGTATTCGTCTTCTCCCGCTGAACCATTGCTGAGAACTGCAAAGCGGAGGCGTGGGCTCTCGCCCGATGATTTGATTATATTGATATGTAGAGGCTTTTTTCGTTGTTTTTGTTTCCGTTACTACGTCCCAAGCCCTGTCTTCCCTTTTTTTTCCCCCTTTCCCAATGGAGGAGGGTCGCAGGCTCACAGATTTGCTGCTGGAATTTCATGGCATCTCGCGAGAGTGTTCCAGAACGCCATCTTGCTAATGACAGAGGTCAGGGCGATTGGAGAGAGGAGCTGGAGCGAATTAGGGAGGCCATGTGACTCCTACGTCCCGGCTCTCACCCAGGGCTGGCCGACAAACACTACTGGCCTCTGCAACAGCCCCGCTGAAATCAGTTTACACCCCTCGGTAATCTATAATGCCATCGGCGAAGCGGACGTAAAAAAGCACACCCAGCAGTTTTAAGGATACGTAGGGGATGCAATCCATGTAGTGCATAGACGGTAGAATAAATGCTAAACAAACCATTGGGAAACTAGTATGCCACATAAATGATAAACAAGGTGTAGTATTTTGATACAAAGAATAATGTGTCTGAGATAGCAAAAAAAGAACATCGTAAATTAACACCTCTGTACTAATTTCCCATCTGGTTGCAAGATATCACAGACTGTAAAAGCATCTCAGAGAAGGGGCCTGAATATTGCGTAATGTAAAAAATGTACACCGTGCGGCACGGTTAAATACTGTAGATAACTTTATTGATCCCGAAGGGAATTTGAGGTGTTATGTTTAAAATAAATTTAAACATTGCAAACTTTTTTTTTTAAAATCCACCTGTTCCTGTTCTCCGTTGAATTATTTAAAAGTATTTACTGCATGGTAATGTATTTTTCTTGGTGCATGAAAATGGTCCTTTTTGGTTACGCTGAACCCATATGAAGACCTGACCTAGTTACGCACAATAAATAGAACAGTATTCTAAGAGTGAAGTCGTACGCCTGAAAAGGTTAATACAACCTTTAATATAACTCAACTGTAATGGTGTCATACAGCTCACATAAAGACGAAAGTCTTAATTGCTCAAAGGCCATTGCACAAAATATACATCAACGCAATATAACATTACGTGTCCTACAAAAATAAACAAGGGGACACAATAACCAACGAATGAGCATCAGTCCAGTTTTTTACTTAGAAAAAATAAGATACAGTTTGGCATCGAAAACGAAGAAAAAAATCACCAAAACATTATAAATATGCAAGAATTTATTGAAGGCATGGCAGTGACAGGTTAAGAGTTAGAAAAAGCGAAGATCATCTAATATCCACTCATATTAAAAAAAAAAAACATACACTTACAATTTTATTTAAAGAAGTATCAATGACTATTACTTCTTCAACATCTGAAAAAAGGTGCCTTTTGCCTGAACGTCACTTCCACATCCCCTAGTGGCGACGAGTGGTATGGCAAATAGCAAAACAGAACCAACCGCCAAGTACTACAGTTTATCTTCAAGGCTCAACACGACAGAACCATTTCGTTCATTTCCACAGGTACAGTACTGTATGTTATTGGGCCGGATGAGTCAAGGCTGTGCTAAAACACAGCCCCCCTTCATTTGCAATCAAAGACATGTTTCTCTGTACTGTGAAAACAAAGCAGACTGGTTCAGTGGACAAGTGTCTAAGAGCTACACAGTTATTTTGATAAAATTTGCATGAACTTTGTTTAGAAATTGCGGCTGTACCATGCTTTATTGTAATAGCTGTACAGTCAACTAAAAGGTTAGTTTACTTAAACTAGTGCAAAAAAACAAATTTCATGATTTCTTGCATTTCTATTTATAAATAAGTGTTCTACTCAAAAAGCTAAAAAGAATAAAGTTAATACAGGATGTTCAGCTTGTGTTGGAGAGAGATGGAATCTGCAGTACTTCAGTTTCTTTAAATACTTCTCTTTGTAAAGATTAGTCACTCTCGTTATGCAAAACATTAACACTTTTTTATGGAAGAAAACACCAAGGGTCAACTTTATTCTAAGCAAATACGATCCTAATTATTGCAACATGAAACAACATTTCAACATAATGTCCTTAGAAAGATTAATAATCTTGTTTATTACAAGTCATTAACTGCACAGAAACGATATTGCCTGTAGATCAAATGTTGGATATCAGGAGAAAGGGAAAAGTACATAATAATTCCCTTTTTAAAATCTGTATATCTATCTGTATAATGTACTGTGCTGTACTGTAAAGAGGAAGACTGCACAAGGAAATGGTTAAGTTTGTACTACTTGCAATCCCCAGTTTACTCTTTGGGAGGAGCTGAGATCTCAATAGCAGCCTTTCAGTTCCTTCCCACTGCGATCAGAACTCATGTCTGTGATACATATCTGGATCGTAGTACTTTGTAACAACCACTCTGTTAGCAAACTTCCGTCCGGTTAGCGCCTGCATGGCCTTCTGGCACTCTGACACTGACACGTACTCCACAAAGATCTGCAGGGAAAAAAGAAAAAAAGCAGGAATTATGTAGCTCTGCTGAGGTCGTTTCATCCTCACAACATGGTGTAATACTTTTTTAAAGGTAAAAAATATTATATGAATCATTAAGGTTTTAATTTGTTCATGATTCATATCAGATTTGTTGGAGAGACTCTCTGTACTTTTCCATCTGTTCATTCATTTTCAGTACCAGCGTTTCTGTCACAGGCTCACAGTGAGCTGGACAGCAGGCACAGGCTGCAAGATGGGACGACACATCCTAAGTGTACACACACTGGACAGAGTGCCAGCCCACTGCAGGGCACACACACCCCAGAGCACAGCCCACTGCAGATCACGCACACACTCCAGAGAATCAGCCCACTGCAGATCACGCACACACTCCAGAGCGCCAGCCCACTGCAGGGCACAAACACCCCAGAGTGCCAGCCAACTGCAGGGCACAAACACCCCAGAGCGCCAGCCCACTGCAGATCACACACACCCCAGAGCACCAGCCCACTGCAAGGGACAAACACACCCTGGACAGAGCACCAGTCCACTGCAGATCACACACACACCCCAGAGCACCAGCCCACTGCAGGGCACACAACCCCAGAGCA